TCATGTTGCTGCAGTCTGCAGTCTGACCGCTAGATGTCGCTAAAAGTTACACACTGTAGCTTTAATTTATTTGTCATCTCAATGCATTTTAGAGAGATAATTCATTCTGATTATCCACTCATATTTCTATAAGGAAAACCAGCTGATTACAATTCAGTCATTGACTTTGTAGAATCCGCTCCTTCTGGATGAGGACGTGGTGAAAGTCGATGTTTGATTGCATTATCATTGACTCTACAGAGAGTCAATGCAGAGGCAGCAGAAAGGGAATAAAAATCCTTTAGACACGAAAAAACCTCCGGCAGAACCAGGCCCATTGTGAGACTGGTTCAGGGAGACAGAGGCACACATATAAAAGGAACATAGAAGCAATGATCTATAAATATTTTCTGTCAGGTAACAATAGACTAGCTTAATAGGTGGTTCTGTCTGGTAAAGCAACTATTAAGCCGATAAACTCTTAATCAGTTTTCATGTCAAAGGGATGAAATAGAAAATGTCCAGTTAGCCACAGTGAGAACAATAAAAGTTGCACGGAAGTCATATTTAAATGTCAAATCATTCTGGCTTAAATATGTATATAAATGTATTCTTTATCAGAGGATATTGTCCCAAAATTTTGAAAATTTGTATTAAAAAAAAAAAGAATCCTGTCTTAAAATATGTGGGGTTTTTTTTTCATTATCTTATCCAGGCCAGTTAGTTATACGTCAGCCTGAACACCTAAATTCGGCCAATCATATATCAACGGTCATCTGTCAATCAAGTTGTTTCGGTCATAGAATCTTGATTCATATGTTGCAGCTAATATACGCAACGGCTGAAATAAGAAATCAGAATCATTTCCTTTCCCATTCAGTTCCGTCCCAGTGCTCACGGGGATGGACGTCTGTGTCTTTGGCAGGCGTAGAGCTAACAGAACAGGCAGTGCTGCGAGGCAAGGGCTCAAACATGTACGGCTATAAGCCTTCTACTCCAAACCAAGCTTCTGCCGCCCTGGCGTCCTCTTCTACAACATCTTCGTCCCCGCTTTCCTCCTCTAAATAAAAAATGTATGACGGAGGAGACTCATCCACGACCTCCGACACAAAACTCTCCTCCACTTTTGCATGTTTCCGCTGTCCATAGCATTCCTTGACAGTGTCGTTTCTAAGTCACCAATTTATTGCTACTTGGTCACAATGTAATTTCCCATTGGGACCCTACTAGCACTAAGTTGCTAACTGGTTAGCAAGGTGCTTCCAATAAACAGGCCACAACCAAACGTGCTTGCGAACCTTACACCACCACAATCCCGCCCCCTTGATAAAAGACCAATCACATTCACTTTATTCACGCATGTAAAGTCATGCACCACTCGGGAGAATTGAGAAATGCAACGGTTGGAACAGCCGTTTTCCTACAACTTTAAATAATGGAGAATTGGAGAGTATGGTCCCCATGTCTTCCGGCAGACATAACCTATAGCAGGAGAAGAGCCTTCCCTCCATTGGTTTCCAGTTTTGATGAGGAATTTGTTACCTGGTTTTATCAACCTTATCTGACAGTTGTTGCACCTGGTCTGGTTTCCTCCTGCTGTGACCTCAATCCCCCCCCCCCCCCCCCCCAAAAAAAAACACACTCACACACACACACACACACACACCCCATCAAAGAAATTCCTTGATAAAACACTGGGTTATTTGAAGTACCATTGACTGTTTATTATTTCAAAACCAGTCTTGTCCTTCTTCTCAGACCACCTAGACAACTTTTGTTTTTTTTTTGTCCATACAGCAGTTGAACATTTGTACCTAATATGGTGGTCAGTAAGTCAATATCTGCATCATTTTAAACAAACATTCATTTGAAACCTCAACTCTTTCAGTGATTTTCTCCCACAGAATAAGGTGTACATGTTCGAAAAATCAGAAGTCAGAAGAATCCACATGGAGAAGCAAAAGAATGAGGAGAGGGAGGAGGAGAAGCTTCCCCTGAAAGATTTCGAACAAAAACTTCTGCAGAACTGGCCAACGGCTCGGAAGATGGAACAGCTGGAGGTACATCAGTCTCCCAGGGGTTTCATTCATGTCACGTTGACCCCTTAAATACAAGTGTTTAAGTAAAGCCCAGTTTTGCATTTTCACCTTTGCTTCCAGGTTTTGGAAGAAGAGAAGAGATTTCATGATAAGACTATGGAATTTCTCCAAAATCAACACGAGGTTGGTAAAGCAGTGAGATAAGTAGGATGTGAATTTGGTGCTTGGAAATGAATCTGACTGCTGCTTACAGTTCTCATATAGTTCTGGTATAGGAACTATAATAACTGGAACTTACAAGACAATTCTTAATTTTTTTCACTCTATTAACTAGGATAAATGTAGATACAAATAATACCAAAATCAGCAAGTTAAAAACTTAGACTATATTAAACAGAATGACTAGATGCAGTGCTAAGGGGAACGTCATGATTAAAGTAAAATTAACAACATTGTTATTGCAAAGGACATTTTTGAAAAGAACAAAAGACAAAATGAGCTTAAAGCTGAACAGATGTCAGTTATTTTACCTCCATAATGATATATGAAACAGTGCTTATATAAAAGCGTTAGCTGATCATCAAACAGATAGAAAATAAGACTAATCTAAACCAACTAAACATAAAAATACCATCTACAGTGATGATTCCATTCTGGGGGTTTTTGTTTGTTTATTTTATCAAAAAAAGCTCAATTATCCAAAAGAGCAGCTGCAATGTAAACCTGATAATTGATGTTTGTTACTCATATCTATGGAGGAATTCTGTCCTTTCCTTTTTCTTAAGCATGAATGGTCAGTTTGCATCTGGTTTCTGCATATAAATTGTTTAAGTCCAGGTTTCTCCAAAACCATTAGGAGGTGGGCTTGTTCAAATGCCTCAAATGGTCACTGAGATACAAAACCTTTAGTAAATCTAAAGCCCACAAACTGGTGTCCTTCATTGTCTTATAGGACCTCTGCTGGAGAGCAGAATTTAACAGCTTTATTTAAGGCTGTAGCTACTGACTCTTCTAGTAATCAAATATCGCTAATTTTTTCAACTAATCCATGAATCTAAAAGTAAATATTTGCAGTGAATTAAAATCACTAAATAAATGAATGTTTGAAAATTTGAAAAATGTATTTATTTTATATGAATTGTAAATGACAAAAATCTTGTTAAAAAAATGTAATATACGCAAATATACATGTGTACCAATTCATTATTTCAGCCCTATTTCAATTTATTATATGTCATCCAGGTTCTAACACACAAAAGCAGCACCAGACCACAACATTTCCAACCCCATGTTTAATGGTTTTTAAATACAGTTTTACTCCAAAGGTTAAGAGATTCACCTGTTTCAAAAGTTAAACATTTTTTACTTTCATTCCAATACTTCCCCCAAACTCACAGCAAGCATCACTGTGATCTCTGGCAAATGTTCTTTTAATTGTAAGTGTTTTTGTTCTTGAACTCTCCAATGGACCCAGTCCTTGGCTGTTGTCTTGCTCCTTGTTAAATCATGACCTCTGACCTCAAATGAGGTAACCTATTGCCTTAGGCCCCTTTTCAGCTCCTAGAGGATTGATGCTCTTTGGAGTTTGAGTTTTAGTCTGAGCGTCACTCCTGGGAGGTTTCTATATTTAAAAAAAAAAAGACTGAATT